TTTTTATTTTTTATTTTCAAACAGGGTCTCCCTAAGTTGCTGAGGTCCTCACTAAGTTGCTGAAGATGGTTTTGAACTTGCAGTCCTCCTGCCTCAGCCTCCTGAGCCACTGGGATTATAGGAATGTGCCACTGTGTCTGGTTTGACTGTATATTTGATGAGGTCATATAATGCACAAGGATTTCTTAATTATTTATCTGAGCATTTAATATTGTTATATTTGTGAACATGTTTCTCATTATTCATTATTGTTTTCTCACTGGGAGCCTCTCAGTGTCAGGAACTGAACAGGTCTCATCCAGTTCTGTGTCCCTAGTGCCAACTGCTGAACTTGATCTAAGCTAGGCTCAAATAAACATTTGTGAGGTGAATGAACAAACATTCTATGTACATGGCATTTTCCCTGTTTCTCCTTTTGGATCATTTTATACAGATTTCTAGGAATGAGATTGTGGGTCAACTAAGATGAGTGTATTACAGCTCCTAAAATTGTACTGAGTTTTGATAGGTGAAGATTCTTTGCCAGGGAATAAACAAGCTTAGGTAAAGTGGTGGTTTGTGGAGAGTGTGGCTAGGTAATGTAGCCGACTCCCTGTGCATGATGCTGCTGGATTGCTCTCACCCTCCCCCCAACACATCTCCTACTGAGAGTGGTCCCTGAATGAGTGTGTGCTGAAATGAACTAACTTGTAATCAAACGACTTTATTGTGATATTTTTCTGAGGACTACATTGAGAGCTAGCTGGGGTTGGAGGACAGGGAGATCCTTGGGTCCAAGAGAAGGGACAGGTGGCCAGGGCCTGACTCACCCAAACTTGAGCAGGCTTCTGGAGGCCTGGGGAGAAAGGCCTGTGGGAACAGCTGGGGTGTCACGTGATACCCAGTCCTTGTCTGCCCTCTCCATCCTTTGGGACATTCATTCATCTGTGTAAGAGATATCTAGAAAGGCTTTCCAAGATGTTTGGCTTGGTATCTTATATTGGGATTGGTGCCATATTTGAACTGGTATTTTAACATTTGCCATCATGATGGAGATCACTATTGTTCAATAAAAAATACAATGAGAGCTGCATATATACTTTCAGATTTTCAAATTGCCACATTAACTGGAAAAATTAATGTTAATATGTATTTTATTTAATTTAGTGTATCCAAAATATTTCATTAGGTGACATGTGCACAACAGGGCAATCTAAACCAGGGAGAGACTAGTTTGTGATGACACATCTAAAATCAGGACTAAGCAAGGCCAAATTGCAGTCAGTTCCTCTTTTAGAAAGATACTGAAGGGAAAACACAGAAGCTTTCTAATTTCTGTTCGTTTTGCTGTGTTTTGTTTTTTCTCATTCCTTGTCTTACGACTTGTGTATGTTTCTGTCTTTGGTTTCAGCTCCCTAAAGGAAGGTCCTTTGGGAGCTTCTTCCGCCTCCCAAATAGGACACCCAGAGCCAGCAGTCCGCCCCTAGCAGCCTTTCACTAGCTTATTGAAGCCTGAAGTTAGGGTTCTTCTAGGGATTTGTAGTAATTTGAAAGGTCTGGTTAAAAATCAATCTCAGTGTAGTTCTGCCCACCTCTTTGACTAGATATCTGCAGCATCATATGTCAGATTTTTTTTTTTTTTTTTTTTTTTTGTACCAAGGATTGAACCCAGGGACACAACCACCAAGCCACATCCCCCGCCCATTTTTATATTTTATTAGGAGCAAGGGTCTCACTGAGTTGCTCTGGGCCTTTTTAAGTTGTTGAGGCTGGGTTTGAACTCACAGTCTTCCTGCTTCCGCCTCCCTAGTTGCTGGGATTACAGGTGTGTGCTACCATGCCTGGCTCATATGTCAGATATTGAAGGTGTGTGATCTAAAAGGGTGTGTGTGTGTGTGTGTGTGTGTGTGTGTGTGCGTGCGTGTGTGCGCGCGCACGCACTCGGAAATCAGTGAAAGATGACTAAGAGGTTACTAATTGTTCCCAGTTAGATTTAATACTCATATTGAAAGGGGAAAAAATTTTTTTTCTTATTAAAAAGCAGATTTTCATGATGCCTACTTGCAAGAGATAGCTAGAGAGTTGGTAAGGGATTCACCCAGTGGGTTTATGCCAAGTTTTCTGAGCATATTGTGCACCCGAGCACAAGTAGAAACACAGAAGCATGTGCAGGCTGGAGGAGGGGAAGTAGAGCAAGTGCCTGGCGCCTCCTGGCTAGAGCAGAAGGTCCACCTTGCCCTGGTCTTTTCCCCAGGACAGGCCTGGAAGGGCTGGGGCAGGGGAACTGGTAGGATGGCCAGAGCACAGCCCCCTCTTCCAAACTTATACCTGCCTCTGAGCTGAGGATTAAATTAGCAGATGGGGCTGGGGGAGTCTCAGTGCTGATTCTGTTGTTGACTTCACTGAGTGACTTGAACAAGTCACTTCCCTTCCTTGGCCTGTGGAAGGAGGGAGGAGAACTAGGGGGGCTTGGGCTCCGATTTTGGATACCATAGTGTCTCCCGGTCCCCTCCTGTGGGGATGATTGAATTCTCTTTGCCCATCCCAGGGCCACGCCCAGCCCCTGCCATATATCCTGTTCCAGGTGGCTGTTTGTGGTCTCCCATGTGATCTTATTGCTTCTGGGTCTGAGCTAAGYTCCTTTCTCTACCCAAGCCTGTCCCCTGCCCCCACCATCTTCAGCAGTGGTGGTATTGTCTATCCTTGCCATTTCCTGTGGAGTCCCTGTGCCCTAGGAAGGCCTGCTCGTCCCTGGGGTGGGTGGAGGCCTCCTGCTCTGCTCCCCACATCACTCTGTGTAGCCTTGGCCTTTGCAGATACTCTTCTCCCCTCCTGGAACTCTTCTTGTTCCGTGGTCCTTCTGGCTTCTGCCTGCTTCCTCTTTAAGAACAGGCTCCTATATTACCTCCTGACTTGTTCATTTATCCCTTTACTTATTTATTCAATAAGCAAGTATTATACTGTGTGTCTGGCACTGGGCTAGATGTAACAGAAATGGAGACATTTTTGAGTTGATGTTTATTGGAGAAGATAGACATTAAGCTGCTACTTTGAAGTTTTCGAACCTGCAGGTGCCAGGTGTCCCTCCTCAGTATTCTATAGGTAGGCCAGTCCCACCTTACCCACTGCCCACTCCTAGCACTCAGCATATCATGGGAACGACTGACTTGCTTGCTTTTTCTTAGGCTGAGCTCCATTCCAACTACTTGACAGGTGCTCAGTAGATATTGATTGAATGAGTGAGTGAAATGAGAGCTTGGCYGAGAGTTGGAAGAATTTTCCATACATACCCAGAGATTCTAGAGTAGATTTTTTTTTTTCTGCCTTCAGCCAGGTATGCAGACATTACTAAAAAGACCCCAGGTTTTAGCCAGTAGTGCCCAGAGGTTATCCTGTGATTACAGACAGAAGCAGTTTGGTCCTAGATCTGTTACTTGCTATTAGTCCTGCAGAGGAGGTCTCTGCATTGCCTTGATCTAGGTACCACTACACCTGATATTTGTTCACCACTGGATGCCAGTGTTGATGAGGTCAGGCCGTGCAGCCTTTCTTCTTGGGGCTCCTTTGCCCGGGGCAGCTTGGAGACCTGTGACCCACACCTTCCATCTAGTTTGCTTATTTATAACTAGGTTCATCATTTTGGGTTCTTCTGTCTCTTAGTTGACTTTTTGAAAACATACTTACGTTGCAAATGAGATTCACTCTTAGTGGTCTACAGTTCTGTGGGTTTGGACCAGTGCTTGGAGTCATGTCTATACAACACTCCTGATGTGGGAGGGGTCCATCACCCTGAATTCTCTGCTGGTGCCTCATCACCACTCCCACCTCTGGAAAGCCCAGATTTGTTTCCTGTACTTGTAATTTTGCCATTTTAAGACATCACAAAGATGAAGTCATACAGTATGTAGACTTTGGGGTCTGGCTTCTTTCACTCAGCAATGTGCATTTCATATTTTTTGCATGTTGTGTGTATCGGTGGTTCCCTCCTTTTTACTGCTGGGTAGTATTCTCTTATATGGATTTTCAGTCTGTTTTTCCACTGGCCAGATGAAGCACATTTTAGGTTGTTTGGGATTTTTGGTGATTATGAATAAAACCTCTATAAACGTTCACATATGAGTGTTTTATGTGAATGTTTTATTCCTCTTGGGTGTATATGTAGGAGGGGATTGCAGGTCACTTGGTAAGGGCATGTTTAACTTTATAACAAGCTGTCAAACTGTTTGCTAATGTATTTGCCCCATTTTAGATCCCTACTAGCAGTTTTTGAAAGTTCTAGTTACTCCATGCCCTTGTTAGTGCTTGGTATTGTCAGCTTTTTAAAATATTAATCACACTGGTAGGTGTGCTATCTAGTTTTTAATTTGTAGTTTTATCTAGTTTAATTTGTAATTTACTCTTTCAGATGCTGGCAGAATTTAAATGTCATTATTTGATGTGATTTGGCAAGGATACCACCCATATCTATATAAAATTTGATTTCTTGAGATAGAATTTTTAGGTGATCACAGTGAAAGAGAAGCAGGGTTGTTAATTCTTCCTAAAACTCTTTTTTTTTTTAAATAATTTTTTAGTTGTAGATGGATACAATACCTTTATTTATCTATTTTTATGTGGTGCTGAGGATCAAACACAGTGCCTTATATGTTCGAGGCAAACACTCTGCCACTGAGCCACAATCCCAGCCCCTTCCTAAAACTCTTTGAGGACTGTGTTATAGTGTATCATTCCCTAACATTAGAATTTTTTTAAAAAAAATATTGCATTAAAATCTTTGTTAGAACTATTTGCTTCACCAAAACAAAAGCTAGCAGTCTTGTAACTGAAATGTCTTTGCTCTCTTCTTACCTCATTCTTTCATATGGCAAGGTGCACAGTCTGTACTCAACAGGCTTTTTTATTTTTATTTATTTATTTATTTATGCATTACAATTCTTAATACACCTTTAAGAGACAGACTTTTTTAAAACTCTTCATCTTATTGGTAGCTGTAACACATTATTTCCCTTTCTTCTTTCTAGGCTCCTAATCGTCAACTCATGACTTACTGGTTACAGGAGCTTCAGCAGAAAAGATGGGAATATTGCAACAGCCTGGACATGGTGAAATGGGACAGCAGCACTTCTCCAGTTCCTGGAGATTTCCCCAAGGGTCTTGTAGCCAGAGATAACACAGGTAAGGCATAAACGGAGGGACTTGTCAGTTCTTTGGTTATAGCTGTTTGTACAGTAAGTCAAGTTAGCAAAGAATACAGAGGAATATAAGTTAGCAAGATGAATACAGAGTGAAAAATCACAATGCTGATCCCTTTGAATRGGCAGCATGTCATAGTTACTGAGTGCTTCCAGGTATGGAGTCAAATTCAAGGTAATGATAACTTGGAGCCAGGCAAGGCCAGTGCCAAGCATGTTGCCCATGATGGGGCAGAGGCCAACATGTGCATAGCTGAAGTTGCAGATGCCAAAGAGTAAACCCTCAGTTCTGACATCAGGGCCAGCCTGTTCCCTACTATACATGAAATGAAGTACTCAGGCCCACATGTTCATACATGGGCAGATTCACTAGTGTTCACAGTTTGTATATACTGGGAAGGTATTCTCAGAGCATTCCATTTGCAGTTTTCTAGTATTTCTTAAGAAGAATTTAACTCTCAGACATTGATTTTATTTTATATTGAATTTATACTTTTTGTACACCTGGCAGATTCATAGCATTTTTATAACTCAAAATAATTCCTGACCATTTGTAATGTAGAGGTAATATACTTTTATATTTGAATATCATAAATTAAAAACCCCATGGTCTTCTCATGACTTTAGGCTATCTTGAGCCCTTTAGAGAGAATGGGACAGTTGTTTGCTGTCCATCTCATCTTCCCACCTTCCCTGCTCCCAACAAAAACTGTACTAGTGGGACTGTTTCTATGGCCCCCTCTTATCTTGTAGGGAGAAGAGTAGGCCCAGAAAAAAACAGGATCCTGAACCTTCACATGAGGCCTATAAAAGCCAGGCTATCATACTAGCAGTTTTGAAGGACACAAAGGAGTGTACAGTAAAACTTAAGCCAGTCAGGCTTGGCTCTAACTTTATAAAGAAACATGGTTCATACTTCATAAATCCAAAGATCCTTCTGAGTTGCAGAACGTAGGTCTACATTCAAGTTCCCTGTGGTGTTAGTTCATGTGCAACTATTTGTTCCAGAAACAAATGCCTTCTCAGACTTTAACAGTTCTCCAAATTTGCAAGCCTTGATTTTGCTAGTCACAGTGTCAGCAGGCTAACCTTCTGGTCATTGAGAAGTTACTACACTGTGTACCTCTGGATGTGTTTTCCTGAGAAACACATTGTTTTCATGCATGTTTTAGCACTCTGACTACACCAGGAAATGAAGTGATGCCTTCATGTTCAAGTTTATGCCCCTCTCTATTTAGTTCAGGAGTCTACTCACTAAAGGTTAAGTGTTTAAAAAGCTACTGTTTTCATGTTTCCATGGAAAGAAGCTCTATAATTCAGTTCCCAAGTGACTTGGGACACTTGGAGACCCTGTAGGGGAACTGGCAGCCCTTGTGATCATGGCTCATGCCTTTGGCACAGAAAGAACTCAATATGTCTCTGTTCATTTACTCTGGGGACATAAAATGCTTCTCTCTAGCAAAGACTCAGAGATGTTACACTGAAAGGAGGTAGCACCTAGTCCTAGTCTCTTTATAACACCTATTCTGCCTTCTTTCAAGCCCAAATGCTGAAGCTAGGGAGCCAGAGAAAACCTCTGAAGCCCATCTCTGAGTTCCCTTTGTTTGTTTTGGGAACTGTAGGAGTGGGAATTTAGAGTTTGTGCTATTTGACATTTATTTATTTATTCAGCAAAGTAGGCACCTGTGACGGGCCTGGTCTCCCCTCTCCTGATGTTTCTAGTCTAGCATGGTGGTCATGTAAAGAAAAGTGAGAGATTAGTGTGGGGAAGCGGAGAGCAGGGAACCCTGGGCCCATGCATGGATTGAACATAACTTCAGGGTAACTGGAGGCTTCTCTGAGGATGTGAAGACCATGATTAAACCAGATAAATAGAGGAAGGGAGACATGGCAAGAAAGCTGGAACATAGGGCCTCCATGGAATTGCAGGTGAGTGTGGCTGCAGGGATCAGTGAGCCAAGCCTGGGGCACACCCAATACCCCCCACCCCTCCCAGACCTGGGAGAGCCTTGATAGCTGTCCTTGGAATTTTGGACTTTGTCTGATAAAGTACAATAGAGTGCCTTTGAAGGTGTATGTGTAGAAATGACAGGTAACTTTAGACTCCTACCAATTTTCAGATAGCTTCTAAGAACAAATAATAAAACTTTAAGCCACTGGGCCATTTTCAAGACTTTAGTTATTGAGGAAGTGAAAAAAAACCAAAAGAAGGAAGTTAAGAAGAAAAGGCTGTATTTTAGCTTCTTCATCATCAGAGAGAAGAACTGGATAAGAAATAGTTTATTATGTGGCAGTGCCCTGTAATGCCCTGACACTTTGCTCATAGTGATCTCTTCAACATAGCATAACTATGTTAACTAGCTAGAACTTATGAATGATCTTTGTAACTCTGGTTTACATGAAAAAACAATTTTCCTGCTCTTATCTCCTAGTCAGCCTGTTGTTCAGAACACTTTTATTTGTAGTCTATTGGGTGTTACCCATCAGGACTCTTCTAGCACCTAAGGGGGAAGATAGGGAGAATTTGCACTTTCCATGGATAGCCAGTTGAGTATCTTGGAAGGCGATCTGATCTAGTGGAAGAAGCCCTGTGGGCCTGGCTTGAGGATGTGGTTCTGATAATAACTGGTAGCCATATTCTGAGTAAGTCACTTTCCTTCCAGTACCAGAATGCAAACCTTGCCTGTGGGGTGGAGTTTGTCCATCCTTCTTCATAGTTTTTCCTTGAGGACTAACTAAGGAACCAATTACTAAGTAAAGATTTACACACACACACACACACACACACACACACTCACACACTCACACACTCATGCATACGTGTGGTGGTATAATTTCGAATGGATAAATGGGAAAATTGTTAAATTTCATTCAGCTGCATTAATAGAAACTTGACTCACAAGGACTTAGAGATAGGGATTTATTTGTCTCAATATGATAGACTGTCCATGGCTGGAATAGTAACTCACTAGTACCATTGAGAAGACCAGGCTATTTCTAACTCTGTGTTCTTCATCTTTAAAGTATACTAGCTCTCCTACTCAGGCTTCCTACTCCTGGTGGTGGCACCTATATCAAAAAGGGTAATAGCTTTACCAGAAAATTTAAGCTTATGCCTCATTAGCTAGAACTGTGTCACATGGCTGGAAGGGAGTCTGAGGAGCCCAGTGTTTTAGTGCCTGACCACCCTCAAAATCAAGGTCTAAGTAAGAGCTGGAATGAGTATTTGATAGTGAGCTGACACTGTCACATAATGGCCTACCTTATTGGTTTTTTTAGAATTTATGTTTTCAGAGTAAGGGACAATTACCTATGTGGTTGAATTTTCAGCTTTATGTCAATCAAGTATGAGAAAGTGAGATGACTTTGTAGTTGCTTCATCTTTTTTATCTTCCTTCCCTTTTGCAGCCTGACCTCTCAAAAGTGTTTCACACCTCAAACACCATTCACCATTGTCTTCCATGTTTGGATGGATAGTTTCAAACTAATCCTTGAAAGGAACAGTGGTCTACCCGCTTTCATAACTGTTGAGAATGGGGTAGCCAGAATCCAAATAGCTCATTATAAAACGTGTCTAGCCGGATGGTGGCGCATGCCAGTGGCTCAAGAGGCTGAGGCAGGAGGATCACAGGTTTGAAGTCAGACTTCAGTCAGCAAGGCTGTAAGCAACTTAGTGAGACCCTGTCTCAAAACAAAAAATAAAAAAGGGCTGGGGATGTGGCTCTGAGGTTAAGCGCCCTTGGATTCAATCCCCAGTACCAAAACCAAAACAAAAAACATATGTCTATCCCATTGTGTTTACCTCATTTCCTACATGAACCAATAAACCAGCAAGTTGGGGATAATAAGACCTGGTTCTTCTCACAATTTTCTGAGATTAGGGGCATGAAAGCAACTAAAACTGCAACAGGCTGAATACCTGAGTACCTGAGTGAATACAGACAATATTTCTTGCACAAAATTGTGTTGTAAAGATAGTTTGAGGGTTGACCACACATTTCCTGCCCTGCAGCAGCCCCATCGTGTAGTTTAACTGTCACACTTAGCAACTGTGTGGGAGCAGAAGAATGGTGGGGAGGAGGTGCCCCTTCACTCCTCAGCAGCTTGCGCAGTTTAGGGCCTCAGGCAGTGAGAAGGAAGCCCCTGGCTAAGTGCAGAGCCAGCACTGGTGAGGCAGCAGCTATTGCATGGCATCCTTAGGTGAGCATGGAGGCTGCTGCCTTGTCATCTTGTTTGTAAAATGCCATAAAATGCCATTCGATTTTTTTAAAGTGTAAGTCACAGTAATCACTAGTATTGTCTCCAAGAGGTCTTTTCTCCAGGATTTAATGGAGAAAGCTCAAGGCATCTTGAGCTCTTGGCATCCCCACTGTGAAACAAAGAGCTCTCTGACCAGGTTCCTTCTGGTTTGAAGTTTCTGTGGAAATCAGGCCATCAAAGAGTATGAGTGTGTGGGAGGAAAGCTGGAGGGAGATTTTCCCTTAACGGCCTTCTCGAGGTAGCATGGGCTAAAAAGTCCAGCTCTGTCTGAGAGGAGCACCTGGAAGCCCAGAGGAGAGGTTCTGAGAGGATACCGTCCAGAACAGGCTTAGGGTTGGTCCAGTAGAAAGATCCTAAGCCTGTGTCCGGGTGGGAGTTGGTACAGGTGAAGGTAGGGGTGGATTGTCTGTGGGAAGGTCCGGGGACCGAAATGGAAGGCAAGAGAGCAGGGAGGTGTGGGAGAGAGGGGAGGGAAGCAGTGGAGTCACGTGCTCTCTCTGCCAACTCAGGGAGTCTGTCGAGTGGAGGTGGCTCAGAGGGAAGTCAGAAGGGACGGTGCATATAACCTGTCGAGAACTGAAGGACCTCTGCTACCTCCCTCCTAATTTCCTCAACTCACAGGAGGCCTTTCCTGCTATACTTTGTTAGAGAGTTGAAGTTTCTAATTTGTTCATTCAACCATTTTGCTGATTTTTGTTTTGAATCTGTCCTCTGAACTAGGTGCTAGGTATGCAGCTGTTGGAGGATCAGTCAGGGCTCAGGTTTTCACTGGTTTGTGTCCTTGGTGGGGCTGGGGGATAGACAGGAACATTAACTAGACACATGGGCTGGCCTGTCCTGGGAGGTCTCAGAACCTAGGGGCTTGCTGCCTCTCTTTGGTGCTTGGATGCACACCACATCCTCACTTGGAAGATATCTCTTCTGCTCCTGACTTCTCCTTCACAAGCTGGTTTAAAAGTCACTTTGACTAAAAAAACAAAACAAAACAAAAAAAACTTTTTCAGATTAAGTCTGTCCTGTCCTCCCCACCTGTCGTGATGACTGAGGCAGGTGGGGATGATGGATTGCCCTTTCCCAGGGCTCTTCCTCCTTTCTTGGTGTTGCTGCAGACCTGCGGTTCTGCTGTCTGCAGAGGCTGCTAACAGAATGCCTGGCCTGACTGCTGCAGCAGGGTAGGAGCAGGAGGGGAGAGAGGCCTCACAGAGACAGGCCAGGTACAAACAGGAGACTGTCAGTCACAGCACAAGCTGAGGCCTTCCTAGGTCACTGAACTTAGACACTGCACTGGAATCAGGACATAGGAGGTGTAGACACTGTAGTCTAACACACCCTTGGAGTGGTCTCTTTGGTATCTAAAAATGTTAGAACAGAGGAGGCCTAAACACTCAACACCTTCAAGCACAGACTCTCCCCACTCAGCTGCAAGACAAAGGACACATTCTTGAACACCAGTCCATCCGCTTCAGAGTCTTCCAAGGAAATGTTGCCATGACCTGGTTTGTTTTCCCTTAATGGCCTTCTCGAGGCAGTTCCCTGAATGCTAATGTTAGTACACGCATTGAGGAGAAGCCAGCAGCTCTGCTTTCAGTCAAGTGAATCTCACTTGGTCTTTAAAAAACCAAAAATTAGACAAAAATAACAATAACAGCAAAAAATGTATTAATCTAGGAAATAGCCTATTTTTTGAGTAATGAGTTTAAGAAATCGTTTCTGCAGCCTGTGCTTCCCTGGTCCAGTCCCTTTCTGCACCCATCCCCCAGCCCCTGGCTTCCTCAGGAAGTTCTTCCAGGATGGGCTGAGTATTGCTGCAAGGTCTGGGGTTTTCTTGGTAATAGATGCTTTGCCACACCAGAGCATTTGACAGTCCGTGCTGCAGAGGGGTTGTGTGTCGCCTTGCTGCCAGCCCACACAGGAAGAGAGCTACACTTGGCTGGTTACAAAAATGAGTACAGTTGGTTGTGTTTATTTCCTGGGGTGGTTTAATATTGTAATGCTCTGCCCATGTTGGGTCTGGGAAAGACCAGCCTTTGGGACTGTATTTTACCTTTCTCTGAAATGAAGGGGTAGAGCTTCCTCCGTTGCCCATGATTGACTTCTTGCCCTGCTCTAGGAGCACAATCCGTTCTCTTTGGCCTACTATGTTTGTTACTGTAGAGGTAGGTAATGCCTCTAGCCCTGACTCTGGGCAGTAGTGTCCTGACAAAGTAGCTAGAGACTGGGCAGGATTAGTGGTGTCTGGACTTTTTTCCTTTTGCTTATTGGAACCTCTTTTCCAAATGAAATATTAAGGGGAACCCTAGCACATAAAAGAGTGAGGAGAGGAGCCACTGTGGTTGGAGCTGAGAGTCGGACCCCTCCTTGTTCTCTCTTAGTCTCCTGGAACCCAAGGCTCAGAGCAACGGTCTGGTTACCAGGGATTCCATGTGTTGTGTGTTGACCTGGAGTGTGATTTTTTTTTTTTTGTCACCTTTTAGGTGTGATTTCTTTAGGGCAAGAGCTCTGTCTCATTGATTGTTGAACCCAGTGCTCAATTAATACATGATAGTGGTTTGAACTAAGATCTGTAACTCTGTGGTAGTTTGTAACTTCTTGCCTCTTGACTCAAGCCCGTGATTCTTATGCCCCCAATACATCCTCTTGGCTTCTCCAGGTCAGAACTGTGCCATAAACTGTGTGTCGGCTCCCCTGGCCAGAGCAAAATCCCCATGAGATATTCTTACTCATGTCACACCCAAGCACTTTCTCAGTGTGTTCCTGGCTCCCTGCCCATGCTGACATTGGCCAAGGTTAAGTTGGTATTCTGCCTACAAAGTGCAAACCCAATGTTCCCATTTACATTGATCCCCAAGAGCCAGTGCCCCCCCAGGACTTCCTGTGCCCTGCTTTCTGGACCAGTGCTCTGTGACCCTTATGGAGGTCTGTCCTAAATGACTCTGGTTGGATGCCAGTCTGATCAGAAACTAATCTTCTTGGATATTGGTGGTCAGCAGTTCCATTGTGATTTTGCTTTTGCAGGAAGAGTGATGGTTGATATTGCTAATGTAGGGATGCTTTGTTTAGACCAAATAGATTATTGTGAAGTAATATTAAATTCTGTTACAAACATGCCCTGTTCTCAGTGAGGTTATATCATTTGGAAGAATACAAAATATTTGCAGTTGGAAATGTTTTTGGCAAAACTTTGTTTTAAAAGTAATATTTTATAATGGGAAATTTTAAACAAGAGAATAACATCATCTCCATGTTTATGATGTAGTTTTAATAGTTATTATTTAATAGTTATTATTTAATAGTTATTATTTCATGACCTTTTTTGTTTCATCAATACCCCTACTCACTTAATTTTATTATTTTGAAGCAAATAATATGTTATTTGAAGCAAATATTATTATCTAAGTAAGAGAATACTGTTGTTTTGAAGTAAATCCTAGACATCTGTCATTTCATCCTTAGACATTTCCAAAGCATACATTTTAAAAGTATATTTTGAAACTTGTTGGTGCTTTAGCATTAGTGCATTTGCTTGTGAATTTACTGAAATACTATCCTGTGATGTTCAAATTTACTTTTCTAGTGTCACTATTTGCAAATATTAACAAGTATGTTAATAAATGTATTCCTCCCACTTTCTTAAAGGAAAGGAAGTAGAGTATAATCGGATCTGTGCTTTGCTTTTTTTCACATAGCAGTTTTTCCTGGGAATTGTTCCTTATCAGTATAGATGAGTGGACCTTGGACACAGTTTTATGCTTGAATTATCTACAAACTGGAGGAAAATCCTAGTCTTTCCTCCCTCTGGACCAACTCTATTAATATTTGGTGACTTAGCTGGGCATGATGGCACATGCTTGCAGCCCTAACTGCTTGAGAGAAACTGAGGCAGGAGGATCACAAGTTCGGCAACTTAGCAAGGCCCTAAGCAATTTAGCAGGACCCTGTCTAAAAATTTAAAAATAAAATAAAAAGCACTGGGGATGATTTGAAGCATATTACAACCTTTTTTTTTTTTCTTGAACATGGGTTGGCTTTGGATAAAATGGTTTCAGAACACCAAATGTATCCACAAATTATGTTCCTGTATGGTATACATTAAAAATATGGCATTGTACATATAGTTGAGATTTATATATTATACATCAAGTTAGTGTTTTGTGTAGGATGTCAGGTTTCTTTAAGTAATCAACATTTATTTGCCTTCTTTTCAGATTTAATTTACCCAAACCCAAATGCTTCTGCAGAAAAAGCCAGAAATGTCCTAGCTGTGGAAACGATGCCTGGAGAGCTGGTGGGAGAACAAGCTGCAAGTCAGCCAGCCCCGGGGCATCCAAATTCCATCAATTTTTACTCTTTGAAACAGTGGGGTAATGAGCTCAAGTGAGTTCTTGGAAGTAGCGTATGAAATTGAAGATGTATTATTTTTGATAATTTGTTATAGCATATGTTATATGTTTGGATATGAAATTATAAAACCACCTTACATTGATGAAAGTTCTTTGTCTTTTTCAATGTACTTTCCCATAAGTCATTTTTTTAAACTTGTAAATAGCCTGCCTATTCTTATCTGATACTCTGCCAAGCATTGTCACACTTATGTTTTATTTTAATTGCTTGACTCTTTGAGGTGGGTCATATGCTTGATATTTCACAGACTCTGAAACTTGCTAAAGAAGTGTGTGTCTAAGGTCACAAGGCTCCCAGACTGCCGAGCTAGAGTTCCTTGCCCCAGGGCCTTGCCCCTTTCCCAAACACCAGGGCTGGCCCAGTGCCTGTGCTCTGCATTTCTGTTCTCTCCTTGTGCATGGCGTGAGAATGGAGGTGATTTTTTTTCAATTTGTTTGTCTTTAAAGAAAGCTTTATTGAATTATAATTTATATACCATATAATTCACATATACAAAATATACAGTGTAGTGGTTTTTAGTGTATCTACAGAGTTGTGTGACCATTCCCACATCAGTTTTAGAACATTTTCATCCATATTCATTAGTAATCCCTTCTTATTTCTCTAGCCCCCTCCTCTTTCTCACCTTAACCCCTAAACAACCACTAATCTTTCTGTCTCTATGTGTTTGTTTATTCTGGACATTACTTTTAATTGGTGTCATATTCTTTGAAACCTTTTGTGTCTGGCTTTTTTCATTTGATATAATGTTTTCGAGGTTTGTCCATGTTGTAACTTGTATCAATACTTTATTTCCTTTTATGGCCAGATTATATTCCCTTCTTTGGTTATACCATATTTTGTTTATCTGTTCATCAGTTCGTCATTTGAGTTGTTTCTACTTGAATCCAGGGTCCTTCTACCACTGAGCTATATCTTCAGCCCTAGGCAACGTCTATTCAGATCCTTGGCCTATTTTGGGGGGTAGGTGGTACTAGGGATTGAATTCAGGGGCTCTAGACTACTGAGCCACGTCCCCAGACTGATTTTGTATTTTATTTAGAGGCAGGGATTCACTGAGTTGCTTAGCACCTAGCTTTTGCTGAGGCTGGCTTTGAACTCAATCCTCCTGCCTCAGCCTCTTTTCCTGAGGCTGGCTTTAAACTCTCAATCCTCCTACCTCAGCCTCTCGAGCAGCTAGGATTGCGCCCAGCTTGGCCTTTTTTTAATTGCCTCATTTTTTATTATTGAATTATGTGTGTTCTTTGAAGGAAGTTGTATTTACTGCTTTTTTGAATAATCCATCCAGTAGCCACAGAACCTTAGGATCCTGGTTTAGGTTATAAAATGAGGATTAATAGAAAGTTGTAGTGACGATGCTTTGTGGGAGACCTGGAAACTTCTAGTTCTGCTGCAGGGCCCAAGGCAGTGGTCAGTATAAAGTTGACTAGCTGCACTCCAGAGCCCTCGCTGGGTGTTCAACATGGTGGTAGGGTGGCCTTGGAAGCTAACATCCAAGGGCACACTGCTTCAGAAAGTGGCTTCTTTTCTCTTAATTACTTTCTTTTGTATCTTTGTGGTTGAATTCGGTGTGAAAAAGAAGTTAATATTCTGTGTGATTTTAGTTCTTCAGAGAGGTTTGTATTAGAACTGAGTAGAAAGTGGCAGGGGTCCCCAGACCTCAGAAGACCAGCATTTGAAAGGGAGACCTCTGCAGTGGCCTTGATTTCTCCTACCTGCTTGGGTAACAGTCCTGCCTTTCTGTTCCTACTCTGTGGCCTTCCATACACATTCTGCCATTCTACCTCCTCGGACCAGCTCTGATCTCATGTCACCCTGCTTCAGAAGAGTCACTGGTAGCTTTCAACCTGCAGGGTGAGCCCCAAGGCTCCTTAGTCTAACACTTGAGGTTCTCAACAGGATAACAGTGGTCTGTTCCTTGGGCAGCTATTTCTCCAAATTCTTACTCCCTGAGAATTTGTGCTGCCTTCCTCTTCACCCCTGAATTTGGCTTCCCATATGCCCATTTGCCTGGTGTGTATTTCTCATCTTGATGGAGTCCCACTTGTCTCCATATACCCAGGGGAAGTGGGGGGAGGTGAGGTGGGGCTTTTTCTCCAGGGCACCTGCACTAAAGCAGCAATGTCTTCCTGTTTCATGCTTCTGGTAAAGAATGGATTCTATGCTTCAAAAAATGTCAGAAAACCGTGAAGAGCCCCTCCCTTCATTTTTCTGGTTTAAAAGCAGAGTTTTAGAGAGTTAAAATGACTTGTTCAAGGTCACACTATAAGTGTGTGGTAGAATTAAAAAGCATAACCAGGTCCCTTCATTGGGGACCCAGTGCTCCTTCCACCTTTCACTGTAAGACTGCATTTAGAGATCTGTTGCTCTGCCAGCTTGTCATGCCTGAGCAGCCTTGTCTGACCTCAGAGTTAGATAGTGGAATGAGATGGAGACAGACCTGCAATACTGTGTGCTTTCTGTATCCTCAGCTGACGGTTGTTATTGAATGACTCTACCTAGGAAAAGTCACACGTGTCACTTTCACAGGGGACAACTGACAAAGCATCTTCAGAATTAAACATCACTCATAGTATCATCTATCCATATGCAGTGTGGCATAGCGAAGAGCCAGACACCTTGAGTTTAGTTCCTAGCTGGGCCACCTAGGAGCTGGATGTCTTGGCAAGTTGCTTAACATTCTGTGCCTCCATTTCTCATTTGTGAGATGGGAATAACAGTCATGTACTTTATGAGATAGATTTGATGATACTGAGTTAGCACATGTAAACTGCTTAAAACAATGCCTAGCATGTAGTGGGTGATCAATAGAGTGGCTACTGGAGAGACCCAGCTCATAGAGCTTTGTGGGACCACTGTATGTATAAGTGATGCTCATCAATTGCCATAGAGATCTTAGGTGTTTATGGGTAATTTTCCCCCCTTTTGTCTTTTTACTTGTTTAAATGTTTTGGGACTTGGGGCCATAGCTCAGTGGTAGAGCACTTGCCTAGCATTCACAAGGCCCCAGATTCATAGCACCACAAAATTTTTTTTAAATAATAATAAGTTGGGCTGGGGTTGTGGCTCAAGTGGTAGTGCGCTTGCCTGGCATGCGTGCGGCCCAGGTTCGATCCTCAGCACCACATACCAACAAAGATGTTGTGTCCGCCGAGAACTAAAAAATAAATATTGAAAAAGTTTTCTCTCTCTCTCACACTCTCTCTTTAAAAATAATAATAATAATAATAAGTTTTGCTAATTAAAATGTCTTCAGTGCATAAAGAGACTACCCCCCAACCCCCACCCCGTGGTACTGGAGATTGAACCCAGGGCCTCATGCATGCTAGACAAGTGCTCTGCCACTGAGCTAATAAAACAAAATCATTTTATTATTTCTAAAGTTATTAAAGTTGTTATAATAATAAAGTGATTTTATCCCTGTGTTATAAACAAATGGCTCAAAAGTTACATTTATTTTTATGGATTCATAATGGCACTATAATAGAGCTTAGTCGGGGCTTACAGGATAATTGAATGTTTGTCTGTGCTTTCAATTTGTTTATCAGCAGAGTTGAAGCTATTATGAAACTTTCCTGATGAACCAACATTTTAAATTCCCTCTGTAGTGCCAGGGTCCACAACTGCACAAGACTAATGGCCCCAGACTGTGCTCCCCAGTTAAGCTGCAGACTAGCCCAAAGTCAACTGGGTTTGTTCCTAACTAGTTAATGCCTATTGTACCTGTTACTGTAATTATGTCATTTAATTAATTAGTAAACTCACAAAGTTTGAAAAGGAATTGTTTTGATGAAAAATAAGTTGTTTGCTGGGTATGGTGGTGCATGCTTGTAATCCTAGTGACTCAGGAGGCTGAGGCTGGAGAATCACAAGTTCAAGGCCAGCCTGAGCAATTTAGCAAAACCCTTAGCAACTTAGTTGATCTCCTGTCCTAAAATAAAAATTTAAAAGGACTAGGGATGTAGCTTAGTGGTAGAATACCCCTGGGTTCAAGCCCCACTAGTAAAAAAAAAAAAAAAAAAAAAAAAAAAAAATGCTTAGGGAAAATTTGATAAAGATGAGTCATTAAAAAAATTGCTGTTGGGCTGGGGTTGTGGTTCATGGATAGAGCGCTCACCTAGCACGTGCAAGGCCCTGGGTTCAATCCTCAGCATCACATAAAAATAAATAAACAAAATAAAGGTATGTAAAAAAATTGCTGTTAGGATGTGAGTGACATAGTTGTGAAAAAAAAAACAGAAAAAAAATGTTAAAAGCCTACAAGATTCTATGCTTAGATTGTTTTACAATCATAAGCCTTTGTTCCACTTTAAAAAAATTTTTTTTAGTTGTAGATGGACACAATACCTTTATTTTAGTTATTTATTTTTATGTGGTGCTGAGGATCAAACCCAGGGCCTCACACATGCCATGTGAGAGCACTCTACCACCGAGTCACAACCCCAGCCCATATTCCACTTTTTAAAAAAACATAAAACAGGAGCCTGATGCAGTGGTGCACACCTGTAAATCCCAGCTTGTTAGGAGGTAGGAGGAGCTTAAGTATGAGGCCAGCCTGGGCAACTTAGCAAGACCCTATCTCTAAAAAATAAAAAAAAGGGCTGGGAATGTGGCCCATTGGTTAAGTGCCCCGGTTCAATTCCTGGTACCAAAATAAAATAAAATAAAAAATGGAAAGGGCTGGGGATGTAGCTCAGTGGTAGAGTACCCCTGGATTCAGTCTTCAGTACTACTAAATAAATAAGTAGGTAAATAGGTTAGTCAGTTGGTCAGTCAGTCGTTTGGTTGGTTGGTCATTCAAAGCAAAGGGAAACAGAATTGGAAAGGTCAGGCAGTGTTTCATGGTGTGATTTATCCAAGCAAGTAAAGGGGACTGCTGTCAGTAGCTCCAGACTCAACGAAGAGTCCCAGCTGGACCACATCAGTATACTGGTAGATGAGTATGTGTTTACATGGTCCTTTAGGTACATGTA